CAGCTATCTTGTTGTTTCCATCATTGTGAACAAATTGCTTTAGACTGGATCATGTTTACTTTTAGATGCCTATCGTGAAGTTCAAGAATCACTAATCATATATTGATAAACAGTTGTTTAAAAGTGAAAGAAATTGAATGACATCCTTTTGAAAATGTTTTTTGCTGTTATCTTGCTTTCTTTGTAACACAGTACACAGTATTTGGGAAAAGAGGCCATAACTTTCTTTGGAAGGATTCTAAGGATCTGTCTAGCCCAGGGTGGAACATCTATCTGCCCCATGCATTTGCCTTTATCTTGTCTCAAATTCTAGGCTCAGGAGCATTAGCACAGTCTTGAATCATGGCAGCATTTGAGCTAATCATGGCATCAAAACCAAGCTAAAGAAAGGCCGATGGGAAACTGTCCAATCAGACCCCGGGATAAATATTTTCTGGAAACCAGCCAGCTCAGAATAAGTTAAGGGAAAATGATATAAACTGTGTTTAGATCATTTTTAGAAACTACATCAAAAGGATGTTTGATCAAAGCCACATTATTAATACAGAAATTAACAGTATGAGCTGATGAAAATCCTTCTTCCATTAGCGTTTTTTTACTGCAAATTATGCCCAATGACGCTCTGTTGTTTTTGCTCAGATCAAAAGTATTTTTTCTCCCTCTGCGTTCCCCTAATATTGTTATTATTTTTTAGGGAATTGGCTCTTTAGAATAATCAGTCTGGGAGATTGAATTTTGACAGCATGCTGTATTGCACTGAAATAAATGTTGGTCTTTATGGTTATAACAAACTTTATTTTCTAGTTTGCAGCCCAGTCGGAAGGTGAGAACTTCATCCTTGCTCATTTCCATGAATGGTTGTCAGGAGTTGGCCTGGTTTTGTGTCGTATTCGGAAACTACCCGTTGCAACAATTTTTACAACTCATGCAACGTTGTTGGGACGCTACCTCTGTGCTGGCAATGTTGATTTTTACAATAGTCTGAAAAATGTAAGTGTGTCTTTATAGCATCTATGTCCTTTCTATGGTTTCTACACTACCTATTATGATAAGAGCATCATAGTGTGCAGGTTATGAATGACACAATGGAAGGTTTGTGCATCCGCTTTGAGAACTGAATATTCCAAAGAAGAACAATGTTTACTACCTCTGGGACTTGGCTACAAACGCTTCCAAGGACAATCTAGCACTATATAAATTATCATAGGATGAGGAAAAGCTACTTTCTCCCCTGTGACAGTGTAATAACAAAGAAGACAAGAATGGAATAAAACAAAAAAAAACTGCAGATACTGGAAATCTGAAACTGGAATGGAAATTGCTGGAGAAACTGAGCAGGTCTGGCAGCATCTGTACGGAGAAAGTAGAATCACCATTTTGGGTCCAGTGACTCTTCTTCGGAACTGATAGCATCGCAGAAAAAATGGTATTATTCTTGATGACAGAGGGTTTGGGTGGGAGGGGAGAAAAGGAGAGAGTGATAGGTGGAGACGGAGCTCAGAGAAAGAGAGAGGAATAAAGAATCGAAACCTGGCACAAACACCCTGGACACTGGAACTACAGAAAAGATCAATCAGCAATTTTCTGTAATTGTAATGTGCAAAATTGTTTTGAGAGTTGTTTCAGTATCTAATTTGCCAAGGCTACTTTGCTTACCACATGTGGACGTGACAGTTGTCACGGAGTAACAAACAGGAGGACACCTCCTGGTTAGCCAGTGTGATTGCAATCCTGCTTTCAAGCTCAAGTTTGGCGATGAGTCACAGAGCACAAACTCACTGGCTCCACCTACCCCTGGGCACTTTAGGAAGTAGTGTATATTTTTAGAAGTTAGAGCACAAACTGCTTCATTAGTATTTCGTAAGATCTTGATGTGCTTTGACAAAAGAATGAATTTCTGTCCCCTTGGGTTAGAATTTGGTCTAACCAGTTGCACAAAATGGGCGATGTAATTCTGTTGCTGTTAAGCCTTGCTTAACACTGGATATTGCACAGGACAATTTATGTTCATTAAAAGGCCTAGACAAGTTGAAGACAAGGGTGTTAAGCCTTTTTAATATCACCCCAGTTCCCAAATTGTCTACCTATCAATTAGGCTTTCATGTGGCTTGCTGCCAGTTATTGTTATTTAATTGCTCTAACTAATGATAGTAGGAGCCCCACAAGGTCCATCTCCAGAGGAAACGGGGGTAGAAGAAGCAGTTATGTTAGTTTAGGATACCTGAGATGAACACTCTTGCCCACATCCCATCATCTGCAAAGTAGGAAACCCTTGCATTGGTAGAGATTACAGTGGAAGCTTGCCTTTTCAGTGATTGCAGAGCCAGCACACCCCAGTAGCAATGTAATGACAATGAATGTGTGTCTAAACCTTATGTAAAAATGTTCCACAGAAATGTTCCAGTCACAGTATACCATCCTAGATATGATGCCAAAGGCAGGAAATCGCGTCGTCATGAACAGAACCTAGCATTGCCTATTTGGTTGCACTTTATGCTCAGATGCCACTAACCAATTCTGCAGACCTAGACAACCATGAATGTGAAAACACATTTTTGCAGAGTCTGTGCAGCAGAGTGCAAGATGCTAAGCTCTCTGTTATCCTTAAGCAGATAAATGTTGTAATATGGTATAGAGGTTGCACATGTGCAGAAACAGTAGCAATCAGCTATTGGCTGAAACTTCATTGCACGTTTGTGCAATGCATGGCACATGTAACAGTGTTAGGTTTTGGCATGCTTCTCTGGAGTGGCACACGCAGTTTGGCTGGTACCATCTCAACTCCAACAGCCATCAAGATCAGATGCTCGGCTGCAGACTCAAGTTTGCATCCACATGTCCTTGGCATAGAATCATACAATAAATGGAGGACTTTTGGCCTTTTGTTCCTTGACTGATTCTTAGAAAGAGCTGTTTCATTTATCAATATGTCCTGCCATATTCAATAATTTCTGTGTGTAAGCCCTTTTGACCTGGTCTATCTATTAATCTTCTGTCCTATCAATCTTGGCAATGGTTTTTGATAGCTTTATAATGCTTTCCAGCAATTTGCCATCCATTGAACTGAAAACTGTTGAGAATTTAGGAAACACAATGGCAATAGACATGGAACAACTGAAGAGTATAAAACAGTTAATTTAACTGACTTAGCCAGTTTTCCTATCCTACCAGTTGTTTTATCACCTACTGTGTCTGAAGTTTGTACTTAGTCTTCCAACTGAGTTCAGACTTAAAAATTGAGTATTAACAACACTGGAATACAGGTGGGCCTTGAATCAGGCAATGGGCTGAGATGTTATTGAGCTGAAACATTAACTCTGTCCCTCGCTCCACAGATGCTGCCACGTCTGCTGAGTAATTCAGGCTGTTTTTACTTCAGATGTCCAATATTTTGATTTTGTAATCCAGATTGGAATTGATTTACTGCACAAGAAGCGCAATCACTTCCAATAATATTTTGTTAAAATATTAATTCTGCTTACGTATTTCAGCTTGCAGTTTCCCTTTAGCTCGGCCTTTGTCCCTTTAATGCATTGTTGGCTGGAGAAGATATTGAGAGGTTCAAAGAGATTGGGAGGGGTTTTGTTTGTTGGGAATGCCAGCTTCATGAAGTTTGGGCTGGGCATGTAGGGGAGGGATAGATATTTTTGATCGATTGAATCAAGGGACCGGCTGGTGGCATCCTTTCCTTCATGGTATGCTTCATATATTCTGCCCATATTTCCTGTTTACAATTTAGAGTTGCTTGGTTTGTGATTCCTCTTTTTATTTAAAACTGTGCACTTTCCTGATAGCTTGTTTCTGCTCTTCTCTTGAAACAGTTTGACGTTGATAAAGAGGCTGGTTCAAGGCAGATTTACCATCGGTACTGCATGGAACGAGCTGCTGTTCACTGTGCCCATGTGTTCACCACAGTGTCAGAGATAACCGCCATGGAGGCAGAGCACCTACTGAAACGCAAACCAGGTGAGTTCACCTGAATTACTCCTGCGTTTAAGAGGACTTCCAACAATACTCCATTGTTCTGTTTATTTATTCCAATTATTTACTCCAAATCCGGGACCCAAGTGATCACTTCCTTATTTGTTGAGTTTAAGGTGATTAGTCTGCCATTTTACTAAAGGATATTCCCTGAACAGATAATATGCAGCATTGAATGTGTCTCTCCACAAGTGCATAAGGGGCTTGCACTGATTAACGCAGCTACACTGCACGCAGGCTCTGGCTTGTCCTGAATGATATGGAAGAAAACGTGGCTTGTCTAATGAGTAAGTTTGCAGACAATATAAAGATTGGTGGACTTGCAGATAGTGAGGGGGATTGTCAGAGGATACAGCATGACATAGATCAGTTGGAGACATGGGCAGAAAAATGGCAGATGGAGTTTAATCCGGACATATGTGAGGTAGTGCATTTTTGAAGGTCAAGTACAGGTGGAAATTATACAGTGAATGGCAGAACCCTTAGGAGTATTGATATGCAGAGGGATCTGGGTGTGCAGGTCCACAGATCACTGAAGGTGGCAGTGCAGGTAGATAAGTAGGAAAAAAGGCTTATGGCATGCTTGCCTTCATTGGAAGGGGCATTGAGTATGAGGATAGACAAGTTATGCTGCAGCTTTATAGAACTTTAGTTAGACCACACTTGGACTATTGCATACAGCTCTGGTCACCACACTACCAGAAGGATGTGGATGCTTTGGAGAGGTACAGAAAAGGTTTACCAGGATGTTGCCTGGTATGGGGGATTTTAGCTACGAAGAAAGGTTGGATAGACTGGGTTTGTTTTCACTAGAATGTAGGAGGTTGAGGGGCAGCCTGATAGAGGTTTATAAGATAGTGAATGGCATGGATAGAGTGGAAAGTATGAGGCTTTTTCCCAGGGTGGAGGGGTCAGTTCTTAGGGGACACAAGGTGCAAGGGGGGAAGTTTAAAAGAGATATGTGAGGCAAGTTTTTCATACAGAGGGTGGTGAGTGCCTGGAACACATTGCCAAAGGACGTAGTGAAAGCAGACACAATAACAAACATTCAAGAAGCACCTGGACGTATAAATAAATAGGAAGGGAGTGGATTGATACGGATCATATCAGTGAGGACTGTTTTAGTATGGAAGGGCAAAATGCGTCGATGCAGGCTTGGAGGGCCAAAGGGCTTGTTCCTGTGCTGTACTGTTTTTTGTTCTTTGTTCTTCTTCTTTGAACCTAATTAACAGAGGCCACTTCCTCCATGGTAGTTAAAAACCTGTCATTTAATAGATGAGTCAAGTAAAAGCAAAATACCGCAACTGCTAGAAACCTGAAAGAAAACCAGAAATTGCTGGAGAAACTCAGCATCTGTGGATAGAGAAACAGAGTTAACGTTTTGACTCCAATATGACTTTTCTTCAGAACAGTCTTCTTAAAATCGTATTTCATTGTCACAAAAACAGAAAATACTGGAACTAAGGTTAATGATTCAGTTTGATGACCTTATCTAAGATCATCATTCTGAAAAGATTACTCTTTTTCTCACTCTACCATACCTACTTCCAAGCATGCTGAATATTTCCATCCTTTTGTGTTTTTCTTTAGGCTTTGCACAATCTGCAGTATTTTGATCCTGTCAGACCAGCATAGTAGCATTGGACTAGTCACAAGGAAGCATAAATATATTAAATGCTGGAAATACACAGAAAATCTGTCATTCATTTTTGTCACAACTGTGTGCTCTAACGCAACTGGAGATTTCTGCTGTTTTTTTCTATCTACATGTTTTGAAGTTGCTTTTTTTCTTTCTCTTAACATTTAGATGTGGTCACTCCCAATGGACTCAACATAAAGAAGTTCTCTGCTATGCATGAGTTCCAGAACCTACATGCACGCAGTAAAAGTCACATCCAGGAGTTTGTCCGGGGCCACTTCTATGGGTAAGTTCAAAACAAAGCCAGGACTTAATGTAAAGTAGGCAATTGGTCTGTTTATTTTTGATGTAGTGAGTTCACATTACTGTCCATATTAGGGGATGTTTCTGGGTGAAAATGTTATTTCAAACATACGACCGTAGAACAATGTCTCCCTAAGGACCCTTTCTTGAATAGGTGATGGAAAATAACACTGAAAGACATGAAGCTCTGGCTTTCGGATGTGTTAAAGATCTAAACTGGCATTTTTTGGGAATCGTTTTGATTGGTGTAGTTCTGATGCAGTTATTTATGACATTGTATGGTAGTGGAACACCCCTTTATCTAAATGGACATTTATCTCACTGTCTCCATTTGCTATGACTGTCATTTGGAATGGCCTCATGTAATCATGTAAGCATTACACTCATTTTGCATTGGGGTGAGGATATTGTAAAGATGTGTGATTTAGCATGCAGTACACATCTTTTTCTCTTTAAAATGTAATGGACATTGAAAACAGTTACAACACATAGCTAAGCCTGACTCTGAGTGATGAGATTCTAGATTCAAGTCTCATACTAGGACTTGAGCACAAAAGTTGAGATTCTCACTCCAGTGCATTACTGGAGGTGGCATTGCCCTGTCAGAGACCGTGCCTTTTGGCTGACACCTTATCTTGAAGCCTTATCAACCTCTAGATGTCAAGGGTAGATATTGAAGATCCCATGACACTAATTCTAAGAAGAACAGGACTGGTTCTCTCTCATATCTAACCTATTTATCTTAAACAACATTCCAAAGAACAGAATTTCTGGAGATTATCACGTTGGTGTTTGTGGGAGATGGCTGTGTTTAATTTGGTTGCTGTGCTTCCTACATTTCAATAGCGACTAGGCTTCAAAAAATACTTAATTGGCTGTAAAGAACTTTGAGATGCCCTGTGGCTATGTGAAGTGTTATATGAATGCAAACCTTTAATTTATTCTGTTGGCCAAGATCAAAAACTTAAACTACATACATTCAACTTGAATGTATGCCTCTAAAATTCATGCTTCTTAGTACAGTGCAATAGTGCTGAAAGGTTATTTAGCCACCTCCTGCATTGGGTGCTATCATCATAGACAAAGCGCAGCATTAAATTTGATTTGTTTTACTTCAAGTTTAGAACTCCTTAATGTTGACAAATCAATCACAGAGATAGATTCTCCCTCAATGCACAAACAGAAGGGACAAAAGATTTTTGCCTTAGCAGTCCATCATCTTTTCTCAGTGAGCACAAGATTATAAAATTATAAACAACAGCAACAACAAAAACAGAAATTGCTGAAAAATCTGGAAAACCAGTTCTGAAGAAGGCTCACTGGACCCGAAACGTTAACTGTGTTTTCTCTCCACAGATGCTGCCAGTCCTTCTGAGATTTTCCAGCAATTTCGGTTTTTGTTTCTGATTTCCAGCATCTGCAGTCTTTTTGGTTTTTATCTTTATTATAAAATTATTATTATTTTTCCCCAGATGCCTGAACTTTGACTTGGATAAGACCTTGTTTGTTTTCATCGCAGGAAGATACGAGTTCTCAAATAAAGGTGCTGACATATTTCTGGAAGCTCTGGCCCGTCTAAATTATCTGCTCAAGGTGAGAAGCAGAATCCGTATTAGATCATCCTTTGCTTGTTGTCAAATGTGAGCCTGGAATCAGAAATTATGTTCCATCTAGCCAATTCCAAAGTCTTGGGAATCGTCTTTCCACAATACATATGTTGTACCTTTCCATCATTTTCTTTTAATGATGATCCTTGTCCAGCAATTGTCATACAGTGCTAAATAATCTAAACTTTAACCAGCCATACAAGAACAACTTCATTACTGTTGTGCCTTTATCAAAAAGATCAAAGGCACTTAATAAGAGCACTATCAGTAAAGATTTGACATGGAACCACAGATGGAGATGTCAAAACAGGAGACCAAAATCTCGGTTAAAAAGGAGCAGTTTAAAGGAGGAAAGTGATGCAGAGAGGAGAAATAGTTTAGGGAGGTTATTGCAGAGCTTAGGCTCTAGATAACTTAAAGACCAGCTGACAAAGGTGGAGCAAATAAAATCAGGGATGCATGAAATGCCAGAGTTGAAGGAGGGCCAAAGACCTTGAAGGCTTGTAGGGCTGAAGGGGATTGCGCAGATATGGAGGGTACCAAATCCGTGGAGGGATTTGAAAGCAAGAATGGGGATTTTAAAAGTGACTGGTTGCCAGCAAGCACAGGAGTGATGGATGAGCCTGATTGGAGTAAATCAAACACGAACTGCACAAAAAAACAAGCATGATTTTTGAGTTGATTTCTTATTCAGAGGTCTTGGAGAGAAAATAGAGGTTGGGTTGGAGGAGCAAATTACTGCAAATGCTGGACTGAAAACAAAAAATGCTGGAGATCACAGTCAGTCAGGCAGCATCTGTAGAAAGAGAGCGAGCTAATGTTTCGAGTCTAGATGACTCTTCATCAGAGTTCTGGTGATTAATCAAATTGTCTACAATAGATATTCAAATTTGGTTCCTAGACCTATGGTGAGGAGATGAGGGGAATAGGGGACTGACTGGGGCTAGAAGTAATGGTTTTAATGGAAACAAGGGTATCACATGTAAAAAGAGAGCGTGCAGTTCAGCAAACTGGTAGCTGCAGAAATTGATAATGAATACTGGGCCAAACTACGGCAGTCTAAACTGATATCTTAAATTTCACTGCTGTTATGAATTTTAAGAATCACAGTAGATTTTATTGGCAGGAATAGGCATATATGTCTCCGTCCATTGAATTTCATATCAGGCTACAGGTGATTTAATAAAAACGTGGAGAAAATTGACCAAGGAAGATATGAGAAGAGTACATTTTATAAAAAGAAGTGATGGGCTGAATTCTGCTGTTTTGGAAACAATTCTAAATAGTCCCTTGCTGGCAATGTTTGGCCACAAGATGGCAGTAAACAACACATTGTTTTACTCAGTTGGCATTACAACTAAGAATGTGCTGTTCCTTCAAGCTTTGTTTTGACTATATACTTTATTTCTCTCTTCTGTCCTAAGCTGAAGGCATTGACACTTGCTAGGATCAGTCTTGAATTGGTAAGCTCCATCTTGAACATATGGCAAGTACGGAGCAAGGGAAATGGGACAAACTGGATAGTTCTTTCAAAGAGCTGCTGCAGTTACAAGGATCCAAATGTTCTCCTCCTGTGGTCTATGATGCTATAAATTTAGACTTGCCACCCTTGATATCTTATTCTATATGTTTACTAAATGTTTTCTTTGTGAAATTTTTAGCAAATTCTTACAAAGTGTTTGAATTTTATTACCGGGGATTATTTTTCTCCATCAATCTGCTCATAACCTAATGGAACTTTTGGAAGCTCCCTTAAGTCTTTGCCCCTTTCAAGCAGGGAACTTTTGGGTAATTAGCCATTGTCTACAAAGGACCATAGGCAGGGCTGTCTCTTGGAGAAAGACAATTGGTTATGGATTACCTGAGATGTCATTCTGAAAGTGTGGGACAAGGTGATGAGGCAAACCTCCTTGAAGAACAGGGTAAACCTCCTTAGCTCAGCTGGCTCATAAATTCAATTTCTGAAACTGATACTGAATTAGTTGCATTCTTTCAATTGATTGATGACTAGTACTGCATTCCTGACTGAGTGTCTTCCGTGCCTGAAGCAGCAAAAGCTCCTTTTGCTTTGTGCCCTGTCTTTCTGCTCACAGTGTAGTATTTGATACAGATATTGGGCTAGATATTATGTGCTGTTCCTGGTGTGTTTTTAGCATGGGTGCACAGAAAACAGGTCAAGTTAGTAGTTAGTAGTTTGTAGTCTGTTACCTAGCCAGCGCCCCATCTCGGGCTTACACCATAATATGGAAGGTGGCCTGGTTACTGAGATCAGCATTTGTAAATACAAAATTAAAGGTCAGTTGAGTCTGTTAAAACACAATTGTCCCAATATTACCCCACCCACCCTATAAAGCAGTCGGACTGAGCAACTTGACTTTTTTTAAATTTCAGGAATGAGTCAGGGTTACTGTCTTTGGAGGTGGTATTGTCCTATTCCTTAATGCCCCACTCCCCTCATTTCACTCTTTCTCTGCCACCCACTCTGTCTCCTAGTTAGGGCAAACCCTCCCCAACCAATGCCCCTGAGTTACCTCGCTTCAGGATCCATACTGTTGCTGTCTGGGCCTGCCTGTATTCCCAGCACGGCCCGCTACTGAGCTTAGGAGCTGTTGGCAGGTCAGATTGGCTGGCAGCTCCAAAATGTGGGACTTTCTGAAGTGAGAGATGGAAGTTCTGCTTTCAACCTGTCGATGCAACCCACTGCCTGTTAATGCGCCATAAAGCATTTTTTCCTCATTATTTGGTCTTAACCCATTGTTTGGGTTGTGGGAAAAGTGGAGAGAGAGAGTTAATAAAATTGCATCAGAGACCAATGAAAAAATTCTCTTGGCCAAAGCAAGCTTCAGTGATATTTCTTAAATAAGCTATAGTTACACACCCTTTGAAATTCTGCGTATGGATGCCAATTTTGTTCATGGTGTAAGACATCAATACTGAGTTTCATGTGCAAAGTGAGGAAGGGTCACCAGACCCGAAATGTTAACTCTGATTTTTTCTTCACAGATTCTGCCAGACCTGCTGAGTTTTTCCAGCGACTTCTGTTTTTGTTCCTGATTTACAGCATACGTAGTTCTTTCGGTCTTTATTTGGTAACTTGCGTGTGCTGGGTTCCTATGCATCTGCTGCCCTTCTCCTTCTAGGTGATAACTGTTGGTTTAGAAAGTGCTATCAAAGGAGGCTTGGTGAGTTTTTGCAGTGCACCTTGTAGATGGTACTTGCTGATGACTGATAGTCATTCAGTTTCTTTCTCAGTTAACAAAGCCTCCTGTAAAGGTGCAGCTTCTTCAGTTACATATACATGTCTGTAGTTACAATGATTGATCTCGTCATTCATTTGCACATTATGTAATAACTTCTCCACATAAATCCAAAGTTGGTGACTGTGCATACTTTTGTTGAATGTGTTGAATGTTTGCACTCTGACCATCTCACTAACTCTTAGTTCTGGCAGTGATTTAACAGTTTTAACAATGTAGAATTTAGCGTTGTTTCAGTTTCATCTTATCAACTACTTCTGTTGCTACTTCTGGCTTCATTAGTTTTTTTTAGCTGTTGGAAGAGTGGTTTGAGTGTGGTGTGATGTTTATTGTTGGATTCAATAGGTTTCCTGCCTTCAGTCAGTGTGTTTCACCACTCTAAGATTGCTTTGTATCTGTGCTGGATCTGATCAATTTCTTTTTCATGATCCCTTTGTCAATATTCACCACTGCCTCAGCTTTTCTATTTGGTTGAGGATAGCATGAAGATGATGATAGTGTTGAATTTTTCAATCATTTCTGAGTGTCTGAATTCTTTAACCATGCTTAGAGGGTCATGGTTATTCACTACAATGTAAAAAATGGCAAGACAACTGAAATATGTTTTCAGGCATTCTACAATCCTGCTATTAGTCATTTGACATCAAACCCCTGTAATCTGATCAGGAGTTGACTGTAGCAATCTGTTCCAGTGAGAATGAAGAAGTCTACTCCAGACTTCCTCTGTGGTCTGTCTAGGATGTCGTGTCATAAGAGGATTCTCTAAGTTGCTTAGCTTGATGTCTATTACAGGTGCCGCACTAACTGATGTGGCCACTGGTCTAGTTTAGCAAATATGACATTAGGTTTAGTATTTTCCTTGCTTTCCTCTGACTGATTAAATTCCTTGTTGGCTTGCATGGGTGCATTTCAGCATCTCTTTTCCTATCTGTTCAGTGATAAAGACTCTAGTTCCTTGTACAAGGTATTATCTTTGGTGATCACTTTATCTCTGTGTATCTAATATGCTGTTACAGCGACTATATGTTCTTATTGGTTTCAGACCATTCCTTCCTTCACAACTTCCTGGAGCACTTGATATGTTGCATCTCATTTTGTAGTTTGTTTTTATCTTAGCAAAGCTCTTAACTGTGAGATTCACTGTCTCTGCAGAATTGATAACCTCTAGAGCGTGTTATGCTGTTGCTTTATCTTGCATCTAGAAGATTTCACACACGTAAATTGTGGACAAGTAAATTGTTCACCATCACTTCCATTCCTGGAGTATCTTTCATTATGTTATGCTATATGCATTGATGCTTTTCTAACACAATAGAATGCCAAATGCCATGTGCACTCATGTATCTTCCAAATTGCATCACGATATAATAAACAACTGCTTCTTTCATTCAACCTTTGTTGCCTTACAGAATTTATTTACTGTTTGGCATCAGGAGATCTCTTCAGAGTTTTGTGAGGCCTTTGGATCTGTGAAGACTTTCAATTTTCCAGGTTCTTTTCACTGCTAATCCGGTTTGTAGGAGTTGTCACTTTCTTGATTAGAGTCCATTGTCAAGGATTGTACAGCAGAACTGTTAGCAATCAGTGGTCGAATTAGGCACAGTCAGCATAGGTATTAGTCGGGTAAGCCTTCTCTGGGCTGCTTCTAATTCATTTACATCTTTCCTTAAATAAGGAGAACAATGCTGGACACACTAGTCCAGATGTGGTCTTATCAAAGCTCTGTATAACTTTTGTATTCAATTGCCCTTACAATAAACATGAGCGTATTTTTAGCTTCCCTAATTATTTGCTGTACCTGCATGCTAACCTTTTATGAATCATGTAATCAAGCACCCAAAACCCTCTGCATCTCAGAGTTCTGTAATCTCTCACCATTCAAATATTAGCCTTCTTTCTTACTCTTCCAGTCGAAATTGACAATTTCACATTATCCCACATTGCATTCTATTTGCCAGATATTTGCTTTCACTTGATGTATCTATATCCCTTCACAACATACCTTCACAACTTACTCCCTACCTGTCTTTGTGTCATGTAAATGTAAGAACCATACCTTCAGTCTTTTCAGCCAAGTATTAATACAAGTTGTAAACGATTGAGGCCCAAGGACTGATCCCTGTGACACCACTTGTTACAACTTGCCAGGCAGAAAATGATTAATTTACATGTACTCTGATCCTGTTAGCTAGCCAATCTTCTATCCATCCCAGTATGTTACCTTTTACATCAAGAACATTTATTTTCTGCAACAATCTGTCTGGCACCTAATCAGATGCTCTCTGGAAATTTGAGTATAATACATGCATTGGTTCTCTTTTGTCCACAGCATGTGTTTGTTCCTCAAGAACTTCAATAAATTGGTTAAACATGATTTCCTTTTCAAAAGTCACTGCCTGATTACTTTGAACTTTTTTAAATGTCCTGTTCTGATGTCTTTTATAATAACTTTGAAATGTTAAGCTAATTGGCCGAGAGGATCCTGCTTTCTTTCTCCCTCCCTTTTGAAGTCTATGATCATCCTGTCTCTAATGAAATGAACTTTCATTGTCTGAAACTCTCAAGATTCAGCTTGACACCTCAGTGCAGTTGCTTCCTAACCAATATGCACCCACTCGCCATGAGCTCTAGTATTAAACGTTCATAAATTGATGTTAAAAGGGAGTTCAAGCCCTCCAAAATTTAGTCAGTCTCAGTGAGATTTAGGATACAATACAGCTGGTAGCACTCTTTCCCCAGAACCAGCAACAGAGTTGATACTCATTATTGGTTCAGGTGTCTCGTTCAACTTTGTTGTAATCTCAATTCTCCTCTTCAGACTGGAAGAATTTTCAATTCAGTCTCAAATCTGTCTCTTTATCTCTAGAGGATCTGGTACGGAAATATTTAATACATAATGACTCATCCAGATGCCTGCCTGTGTTTAGTACAAAGTTGCAGACTGACGTTTTAATTATTTTTTGTTGTTAATACCTACTGGCTCTCTTACAGCTATCAAAATCTGCTTAATCCCATCTATGTGCAGAAGAGTTTTCCAATTTTTGTCCCTTTTTTTAATGTAGAGGTGTTTAGTAATTTCAACCCTGGAAGACCTAACTCTACTTTTTAAATTATGTCTATTTGCTCTAGACTTGTCAACCAATGAAAAGCTGTCTCTTTATCTACCTTATCAGGCTCCCCTTGATATCTTGAAAAATGTGAGCAAATCTCCAATAAACTTTCTTAAGTTTCACGAATACAACCCAAATTGCGTCATCTTTGTTCCAAACTTAATGCTAAGTGTCTCGGCATTATTTTGGTAACTTTACACTAAGCTCCCTGCAAAGGCAGTATATTTTTCCTAAGATGTGGTGCCCTGAGCTGGCTGTTTCACAGTCCTGCATCTGTGGTTGATATTTCCATAAGTGAAGTGTAACTTTTACCCCATTGTATTTTAGATCTCTGAATGTAAAGGCCCGCACTTTGTTAGATGTTTTGATTTTTTGTTTATGCCTCTTTGTAACAGTTTACAAAATAATGCATATGAATCTCTGAGCTTCCTTAGACCTCCTGTGGTCCCACTTTTTCACCATTTAGTTGTCTTGAGCATAAAGGTGGTCAGAACATTTTACTGACTAAAATCAATTGACTCCAAAATGAAACAGAATCACTTGTCCTGAAGTGCAGATGGTATTAATTTCAACTGATTAAAAAATGGCACAGGTTATATTCTCACTAAATACATCTTTGGCTTCTGTGCCTGAGTATAGGGATCCACATAATTGTAACATTTCACTGAGTAACATCCATTAAACCATTACAGTAGGAATCGTCTTGTAGGGCTCTTGAGAACAATGTTCTAATGGGCCAATAAACACACTCATCATTTGCAGTCATAGCTGAAAATGCAAGGAATAGAGCAGTTGCACAATTGCCAAGAGATCTTTTTATTCATCACTCAACAGGATTGCCAGCCAAAATTAGCATTATGCTCTTAAAGTGCAATCCAGGCTGCAAATTAAAAATGAAACAGGTCATAAGCAAAGTCCATCAAGAGTTCAGAATTTATTTACTTATTGACAAAAGTTGCATTCTTTAATGCCTTTGATCTTCTTCTGAAGCCTGTAAGTTGCAGGAGTTTAACTCCACAGATGGCAGCAAGAATCTAGTATATTGCTCATGTGGGCATTCTTAATGGCATATGCTTGCCCCCTACATTTGTAACTCCAATTAGCTGTGAGCTGAGGGAAAGGAGTGAGACAGAGGGATGCTGTGAAACAGTGACAAACAAATTTCAGCAGTTTAAGGATTAAAGCTATCATTCACTAATGTATTATTACCCTTGAGCAGTTAAATCAGCCAGCAAAGTAATACCTCACTTAATGTTTCTGCTCTGAAACAGGCAAACCGAAGTGAAGTAACAGTGGTTGCGTTTTTCATCATGCCTGCAAGGACCAATAACTTCAATGTGGAAACACTTAAGGGGCAAGCAGTACGAAAACAACTTTGGTAAGGAAAGCACACACTGAAAATTGACCCCAAGAAAGATTAGTAGATATGTGTAAAAGTTACTGAAATGATGATTTCCAAGAGAGCCAGATTACAGTTGAACCTGTGGATAATATATAAAAATACAACTTTTATTTTTACTAATGGTGGAGCCTAGTCATCTGAATATGAATACAATAATAAAATCTGAACGAGAACTTGAAAACAAACTGCTCATTTTTAGTGTCCTTAAGAGAAGGAAGAGCACCGTTAGTTAAATTGCTTGGATGATTGTGGAACCATTTGGACTTCCAATGTTTTGATTTGGATTCACAGCAGATTTATTCCAAAAATAGACCAAGGGGAGGTCTTCATTTTGTAATGGTGTAAGATAGGGCAGCAGCCCATCTGCCAGGTTCTTTTTTCTTTACTGTCCACAAAAACAAACACTGCCAGATGTAAAAGGGACTGTCTATTTGCTATTATCACCTATTTAACACTATTGGAATATCTCAAGATTTAGTCCCAATATCTTAATAAAATTAAAAGGTGTGCTCCAGTGCCTGCTATGGATGGGATCATTTGCCACTAGATTCTTGGTTACCGTCCAATTATGGAAGAAGGGAACAGGACCATTGTCTGTTTCCTGGCAGGAGCTGGGTGGTCAAGAGCAACAGCTGCTTAAAGGAAACACCAGGGAACCCATCGCAATTTCTGAGTCTCCCCGAGTTTTCAACAGGTGAGGCAAACTGCTTGCATCTACTTTCTGCCTCTTGGCCTTACTTATGCTGCTTTCTGTCATTGTGTGCACTATGGCACATTAGAAGGATTCAAAGCTGTTACCCACTTCCACTCTTGCAGGAGAACTGTGAGCAGGAAATCAGCCTGCAAAGGTTCTGCTACTTTAAACTCTCTGTCCTAAGAAATCAACTGTCATTGAAATCATAGGAAGATGATTAGTGGGCAGCATTGAAAGGAGAAGATCGGAGACTTGACACACCTGGGTTTGCTGGTATTTTCCCTTCTTCTTTTCTTAGCTCTCTCAATAATGTATCTGTACCTTCTGAACATGACGATGGGCACTGAATTATTGCATTGTCAGAGCTGCTAGTGCTTCCCTTCACAATCATATTCTAACTGTTGCCTCAATCCTTATTCCAACTCATTAATACTCTATCTCGCCGTTTTCTTAACTGGCCTTTTTATCTCAGCATATCATATACTTTAATTAAATAAAATGCTGAAGCATTCGTGCTAATCTACATTTTGTCCCTGAGTCCCAATTTTCCCGAACTTTGAAGGCTTTATGCAGTTTCTCTGCCTCAGTAAGTGAATTTCAAATTACATTTTCAGTTTCAAACACCTTCAAGGCCTCAATCCAACCAGTTTAATCACCACCTACCAACTTACCTCTCCCATGTCTCCATCCTCTATTACCACAATTCTCCAGATTTCTCCACACCCTCTTTGCCCCACCACTGGTTGTTCAACCATTCTGTTCTCGTACTGTTTGTATCTTTTCCTTTACCTTGTCAACTCTCAAACTGCTTTGACAAATCTTATTAAAACTTTACTCATCAATTGAGCTGTTGATTCCTCCAGTGCATCTCAATTTCCTCTGCACTCTTCATCCTTCTTTATCTCTTCCAAAATGCAAATCACTAAGATAGCTTTCATATGTGTGGATTACTATAGAAACATCTTTGTGACGGCTTTGATTTGCAAGAAATTTTGCAAAGTTTTAACATGCGTTAAAATAACAGTAATATAGTTTCTCTTCCTGATAGCTATCATACTCTTTTAAAGCTAGTGATCCCTCTATCGCCACTTGCTATAGAAGTCAGATTTGACTAGTATTTGAAGATCTCTGCTCACTCGAACAAGGAACTGCATGGAGATCAATGACATTTTGTACTTTTTCAGTCTACATTGTTGTTCTCTAATTTGAATGGCAGTTGTGACATTACAGGCGGCTATGATACCAACCAGAGTATTTGTGAAGACTGTTAAACAATATCACCTCATGCGTGGCCCTATCAAAAAAAAACAGCAGTTTGCAACACATCAATGCTGATAACTTCCCTCCTCTACTTTCTGTGCCTCAAATTTTTTGCAATTCTCTTTCAGGTAGTCTTGAAAAGCTCAAGTGTTTGCAAGTTCTGACTGTATTTACAACACATGTTTAAGCTTTTTTGTGTGAAAGATCTCATTGTTATTATTTAATAAGCACCTTCTTTCAGAGTAACTAAGTTAAAATGAATAAGAGTTTTAGCTCCTGCTTGTAGGCAATGGGACAAAGAAGCATTGTTTTCTGTCACTATTTAAGTCATTTATGGTTTATATTCAATATTTATAGGTGTGGCATATCTCTCGTTTCTGAACCAGATAGTCTGGTATTTGAATTACATGAAAACGTGAACCAAGTACCAAAGCCTATATTTTGGTTTCGAATCTGAACTGTAGTGGGCCTGGGCTTTATGCTGCTTGTGGTTCTCAATGCTGATTCAAGTAATTTTGTTGGTTTTGTTGATTCCTGATGAGGATTTTGGTTTTGCCAAGAGGCTCATTCTGTGGAGGGATGGAGTTGGCTAGTACAGGGATGTTATGATTGTTTTCAGTTGCAAAACACAGTCGGATATCTTTGGACAGCAAAGGAGTGTTTGAGATTTATTAAAATGCTACAATTTGCACGTTGTGTCTTAGTCCAGTGACTTGCCATACAATTCACTGAACTCGGATTAAAATTTAGAAACTTCTTGCCTTTTTATACGACCCTGGAACACGGCATTTGCCCGTTTATCTCTTTCCTTCTTACTGTTCGGAATTCTGAACATCCTTCCACGTGTATTTCCTTATGATAAAAGTGTACTTCTTTCAATTATGTTATGTTTGCTGCTCACCAATATAATCATCTCTGTAATGGGGAGTCCAAGGACAGATTGCATGACCACTTTGAAGAATAACACCATTCAGTCAACTTCATGTCACTTTTATTTTAATTTCCACCCCACTCTTAATCTGGCTTTTCTTGCTTTGGTCTCTTGTGTTGCTCTAATGGGACTCAATGTAGGTTTGAGAAACAGCAGTTTACCTATGAGTTAGGCACTCTACAGCCTTCTGGACTTAGCAATGAATTCCATTGTTCAGACCATGACCTCTCCCCTCACTTTGTCTTGTTTAACAACATTTTTTGGTTAGTTGCTGTTGACATTGGATAAAGTTTTCAGATTCATACCCCCTCAAGACTGAGATTTTATTTCTTTGCTTATCCAATTTCCATCCCCCATTACATCTTGCCTTTTGTCCTTTTATCTTGTCTGTCTCTAACCTAGTGACAGAGTTCCATTTCTGTTCTTTTCCCTACCTTTGCTTTCCTTACCTGTGAACTTGCTTAAAACACGTTATGACAATTTTTCTGCTTTTTAAACAAGGCTATTGACCAGAAATGTTAACTTTGTTTCTCTCTCCATTGGTCCTGAAAGATTTGCTGAATATATCCAGCATTTCTGTTTTAATGTAGTTTTCCACAATATTTTGTTTTTTTAAAAATTCATGTGCTAAAGGGCCAGCATTGCGAAGCTGTTAATAGAAGAAAACATTGGAATATGTAATACCTTCATATTTGGCAAATCTGGTTTTGAGGACACACATCCAGATAATCTGAATGGTGATCCTAAAGTGCTTGGGACCATTTCCCAATTTCCACTTGACTGAGTACCACTGAAAATCAGTTACAAAGGGAATGAAACTTAGTCCCAGTAGAGTTCCTTAAAATTGAAGCCTATTTGTTCCACTTTCCTCCAACCTCATAAAACATGGACTAATAATTAATTATTTCGACATAAGTCAAACCAGAAGGACCAAAGAGAAAATTTAAATGACTGAAAATAAATTCTAAAAAATAATCAAACTATTTAAAACAAAATGTGCTGGAAAAAGATTCAAGTGCTCCAAACATTGTTTATTATTACTAACCTAGGTGAGATAGAAGTTTGGAAGTTTAGGATTGATTAGGGATAGGTATTATTTGTTTTGGTTTTTATCTACTTTTATTCATGTTATTTAGATTTAAATACATTTTGAGTTAAATTTATCTAAACTCCCTTTCTTCCTGCCCCACCTGTCTTCAAATTTTAGAAGGCAGATTCCTGCCATTGCAACATAGATTGGATTAAGAATTCCATTATACAACAGGCCTATGATTCTGTCCACACAGGGGAAGTCTGAGATGATTATCATTGTCTTTTAACTATGATTTATAGGCATACATACTTAGATTTCTGTTCTGACTAGAAACTTACAAAGTTCATCTGCTAAAAAACATTGAACTCCTTTTGATAAGCAACAATTAAAGGATCCAAGGCGAAAGTTTGTATTTTGATCTATTGAAATATGTTTCAGTTTGACTTTGTAGCATTAAGTTTGGAAACCTGTTTGTGTGTCCAAGATAAATGAATAACCTAGCCTGAGCGTGAAGTGAGTATCCTTTGAATGGAATGTTAAACCAAGATCCTGTATGTCTTGCTAAATATCGTTTGACAATATTTGAAGAAGAGGGAACCTTAACTGAACTAATGCAATCAAAAGGTTCAACGGTCAGTCAACTCATTGCTGTTTGCTAAATGATACTGGTTGAAATGACCGACACATTTGTTTGCATAATAGTAGTTAATACACTTTGAGGGTGATTCATTGTGTGAATTAATAGGTGGTGCTGGTTTGTTTTGTTTATTAAATTTATGAAGGTGACAAGTGACATCTGGCAGGTATTTCTGTGATATATAATTGACAACATCTAGACAAAATGCACAACAGATTATAAGGATACAATTACTGCATCCCTTTCCTCTCACCTTGAGGGTGAAATAACCTACTAATAAATGCAGTACAAGGTGGGCTGCTCTACCCCTTCATGACACATTCAACAAATGTGTAGATTTGCAATTTCACGTTATGTTCATATAATAGCAGCAGTAGGTGACCTCAGGGTTTTAGAAGCTGAACAGCCATTAGGATCACTGTGGCACATCTGAGAGACTGAAATTCTTGGATGACACATTTACAGATGTGGTCACCCTGCAATTTTAAGTATTGTAAGCAGAAGGGGAAAGGGAAACTGACAGTTAACAAGGAGTCGTCTGGTCATTCAGGAATCACCTGAATGAATCTTATTCTCCAATTAGAATGCCATTCTGTATATTAATGGGGCTGATGGCTCACCTGAGGAATGCAGTCAGAGCCAAGTTACAGCAACCTGAGTGACTCAGCTGTGTTTGGGAACTCGAGAGAAATTTGGAAAAAGAATAACGGTAGGGGAATCAAATGTTGGGGAATCAGACAGGTATTTCTGCAGTAACAGATGTAATCCCAGTTTGGTATCTTCTCTGCCTGTTACCAGAGTCAGGAATGTCATTGAGCAGCAGCAGAGAAGGAGAGGATAAATAACCAGTGGTCATATGGTGCTAAAGTCAGGTGGATTGAGGGATGTGACTTTAAAGGAGAACTAGGAGAAAAACTAGCAAGAAGGGCCTCAAAGATAGCAGTCTCTGGACCACTCCCAGTAGAGTACACAACCAACTGCAGGATGGGACAGATGAATGCATGCCTGGAGAGGTTGTGCAGGAGAAAGGGCTTTTGATTGCTGGGATGATGGGACTAGTTCTTGGGGGCCAGGCTGATTGGGTTGCACCTCTGCAGAGCCAGGAGCAATGCCGTTGCCAGGTGACGCGATGGTGCTGTCTGTGAGAGTGTGAACCAAATTGGCAGTGATGTGGGAACCAGGAGCTAGCAGTGGAGAGGGCAACCAAGATGTGCCACGAATTGGCAGAGGCATTGAAATAATGAGGAATTATGTCAAGTCAGAGTGAGAAGAAATAAGATCCAAATTAGGTTTACTATGCGTATATGTGAATGCGCAGAGTATGGTAATTAAGGACTTCCTTAAGTTCAGACCTACTACCATGTCTTCCAACATAGCATTATTGAATCTCAAATGATACAAACTGCTTTTTGGATGCAGCATTTTAACATGTTTTTCTGAATTCATGAGGTTGAAAAAAGAAAATTTGTGCCACTTGCAGTGTTTCTAAACTGGGCACCACCCTAGTATCTAAGCACTATCTTTGCCAAGATTTTTTTAAAAATTCATTTGCAGAATGAGGGCGTTGCTGGCTAGATCAGCATTTACTGCCCATCCCTAATCGTCCAGAGGGCAATTAAGAGTCAACCACATTCTGTGGGTCTGGAGTCACATGTAGGCCAGACCAGGTAAGGATGGCAGTTTCCTTCCCTAAAGGATAATAGTGAACCTGATAATCAACAATGGATTCGTGATCACCATTAGACTCTTAATTCCAGATTGCTTTTATTGAATTCAAGTTCCAGCATTTGCCGCAGTTAGATTTGAACATTACCTGGGTCTCTGGATTAACAATCCAGTGATAATACCACTAGGCCGTCACCTCTTCACATTGGCACATAGGTTATCGTCATTGAATTTGAGTTTTTACTGGGTGAATCAAACAGCAAAGGCAATGAAGGAAAGTATTTGCATAAATGTCACACCCTTCATTTCCTCAGGATATCCCGCTCATGAAGTATTTCATAAATGCTGATTTGAAAGCAAAATATGAAAGACAATTTGCTCATGAAGGGCCATTTAAACAGCAAGGTGATGAATGACAAACCAAACTGTTTTTAATTCTTTTTATTGAGAAATAAATGTTGGTCAAGGCAGCAGAAGAACTTTCCTACGATAAAAACCGAAAGAACTGTGGATGCTGTAAATCAGGAACAAAAACAAAGTTGCCGGAAAAGCTCAGCAGGTCTGGCAGCGTCAGTGAAGAAAAAATCAGAGTTAACGTTTCGCGTCCGGTGACCCTTCCTCAGAATTTCCCTATGACTCGTATGGAGATGTAAGATTTGCCTTGGGGGCAGGTGGAGCCTTCATTTATCATCATTCAAAATAATGCATTTCCTACAATCCAGGATAGCACTGTGGTATTAGTCTAGATCACATGCTAGTTTACGGCTTGAATACACATTTTTCTAGCTTGGATATGTCTGCCACTACCTGACACAAGTCTGAGAACCAAGCTGGAGTGCACACACTGACCGGAGTACCAGCATTTTATTCCCTTTCATTAGACCTCACTGGGGTCTGCTTGTAAATGGAGTTGCTATTTAAGCAAGATCATTTGTAAAAGTCACTATGGCTGTACAAAGGTCTGGTGAAGGTAACTACTAAATTTTTGCATGAACAGCTGTCTGCACTGCTGTCACCAATGGTGTGCTTGGAAACAGCACAGAGTGTCAGTATCTGTCATCTGTAGTGATGCTGCTCATACAGACTCAAAAATACAACAGGATCTTTTATCCAATTTCAAGAGCTTTTCTTAACATTTCTTGTAAGACCCCCAGCATAGACCAATCTTTCTAGTTCCACTGATGTTTGTAGAACTACCAGCACTTGGCCTCTATCTGCCTTTTGTCCAGCATGATTTTTGATTTTTGTTTTTTTCCTCAATCAGGGTTTGACCTCTTATTTTCAGTCATTGAGCATGAAGCAAGCTATTACGATTGCAGAGGCACTGGGGATTGTACCTCAGTGTGCCCTTTGCTATGTGGAGCTGCTTTAAGATATTAGTGACGTATGTATTATTGACCCTGGTTGCTTCGTAAGCCGCCTTGCATCAGCCTTCTGTTTCCTTTCAGCAGTACCCCACCTTTGCCCTTTTCATTTGCCCACTCCTTCCTTTCCTTATCTCCAGTGAATAAAATCTAGAAAAATAATTGCATGAAGAGCAAAAACAAAGTTGCTGGAAAAGCTCAGCAGGTAAAGAAAAAATTAGAGTTAACGTTTCCGGTCCAGTGACCCTTACTCGGAACTGAGGAAACGTTAACTCTGACCTGCCAAGCTTTTCCAGCAACTTCTGCTTTTGTTCCTGATTTACAGCATCTGCAGTTCTTTTGGTTTTTAATTGCATGAAGAGTGTTGATACATTCTGAGAAATTAGGGAGAGTTTTCTAGACACACTCTGATTATAGTTTGCAACTTCAGCTCATTATGCCGTAGTTTCAACTTAAAATATGAAGCCCAAAACCAGATGTTAAGAGGGACTAAATCCTTCAAATGAAAACTTTATTAGAAGAAACAAGACAATTCAAGGGAGTAAATATGACCAAGTAACTGTAAACTGCATGAGTTTTTTTTTTAAAGACTAAACTAACCATTATTTTGGACATTAAAAGTTTTAACTGCTGAGAGAATCCTTTTTAAATAAAAACAAATTTAGGATGTGCTGTGAGTGGTTTGTGGTAATCCACTGCCCGGTTGTACAATCATAGGGCAAAATGTCATAAAATAGCAACTATTGTGTATAATAGAATCTGTCATTTTTAACATTAAAAAAGTTATCATAACTCCTTGCGCATGTATAATAGATACTACACATACTGAACCGCATGTACAAAACTTGGTGCATAATGGAAAGGATACTCAGGCTGACATAAGCTTCAAAACTTGTAACTGCTAACTTTGAATAGCCCTGATCATTTTTATAGCCAATGTGAGGTTGTAAATTTGAGTCGCTTAGAAGTGAAAGTTGTATTATTGGCAAGTTAATATTTTATTCCAGTTAATTAAAGCCTTTTGTACTTTTATATTGATGATCAAATGCAACTGGCACAAAAAGGAAGATCATTAAGTTCTGTCTCCAGGTTCAGGTGAGATAGTGAAGGAGAGATTCCTGTTATCTGAAATCTCATTTTATTTTTGTTTCAGGGACACCGCCAATGTGATCAAAGAAAAATTCGGCAAAAAGCTTTATGAGTCTCTCTTGGAGTAAGTACCTGTCCATACAATGCAAGCATAATCATTAAGAATAGCAAATGCTGCATTGTAAACATTTTGTTCAAACAAATGGACACTTGTCCATTATTTTCTTGATGTTAAATATTTTTGTATCTTTGGAGTTCTACCTCTCTACACGATACTCTGAGTATTGTAAAGCTGTGTCAGCTCAGCTCTGTTACTTTCTGACTCCTGAGTTGGTAACTTTCAAGCTCTACCTTGTGGTTTAAGGTCAACACAAGAGACTGAATACTCCATTGAAGGAAAAGAAAGTACAGTATTATTGAAGTTGCTGTCTGTTGGTGGGAAATATCTCTTCTTTTTCAGCCATATCTTAAAGTTTCCGAATGCTATTCAGAATAGAACAGTAAGTCTAGTGTCCTGATCAATGTTCCTCCCGAGCTCAATACTAATAAAGCAACTATTGATTTTACATCTGATTACTGTTGGGAGTATGTTGTTAATGCAGAATGTTGCCTGTGTTTTCTTACAGGACTTTTGCATGGAAAAAGGTTGTTTGTTGTGTGAGGTTCTTTGAGATTTGATGAAGTGAAATATAAGTGTGCATTATCATAAACTTACCTTCTGCATTAAATATGGTTAGTGCTGGAATGTTGTATCCCAAGTAACGCTTAAAACCATCACAAAAAGGTGTCATGCATGTAAACCAGAGAGTAGCATTGTTTGCAATATATGATGGATCAAGGCTGTTCATTCTGAAAACAAGTTCAGAGTTTTGGCATTAAAAAAAAATCGAAGAAACAAGCAAAATTTACCCAGATGGGTCACAAAGATAATTGGTGTAGGACATGATGAATTCAGTAGTGATGGAAAAGGAATGCTTTGCTGTGAATTAAATTAAGTCACATCGTTTTGGAGAGAGATAGGAGCTTGCTGTGCATCCATGCCATGCTATGTTTGACCTGAAGTGCTGACAGTAGATGATAAATAGAAAAAATAGGAAACATATTGCTGGGAAAAAAGCAAGCAAGGGATGTTCCACCTGCCATACAAATGAGTAATGTGGTATATTAATGTTAGTACCGGAGTGATGCCTTGTTTGTAAGCTTTACATCCTAGAGACAGGTGGATCGTAACAAGCAACATGTCCCTTTGGCTATTTGTAACAGGCAGAATACTGCCATGCTTATAAAGCTTAGAACTTAGTGGCTAACATTAGGTATGATTCCGTGATTGGACAGTACTTTCCTGAATAATCCAGGTGTGTAAAGAAATAAGTTAACAACCAATTTAAGATCTGTCAGGCTCACAATGTGGCTCATTTATGTTTGCTAGTAGCGTGTATTCATTTGCAGGATCCTGTTCCCTGTAAAGAAAAACAGTGTGTGGTATGTTTTGTCTTTTTTAATCAAACAAAAGCTTGAGGGACAACGATTTCCCATGGCAGTGCCTCGACCAATCGGCCAACTTGCCAAACAATCATCTTTCTCTCATTTAGCATAAATTATTTATTTCTACACGTTATTGCTTATTTGGGGAAGATGATGGCCTAGTGGTATTATCATTAGATTGTGGATCCCTGGATTAACAATGTTCTGGGGACTTGGATGCAAATCCCACCATAGCAGATGGAAATTAAATTCAATTCAGAGTATCTGGAATTTAGGGTATAATTGATGACCTTAAAATCATTGTCGATTGTTCTAAAATCCTTACCTGGTCTGGCCCACATGTGACTCCAGGTACATAGAAATGGCTCTTAACTGCCCTCTGGGCAATGAGGGATGGACAATAAATGTTGGCATGATGAGCGATGCCCAAATCCTGTGAATGGATTTAAAAGAATGTATTCTTGCATAACCTGATGAATGCAGGATGAAAAACTCTGACAGCCTGCCTCTTTATTTAGCAATAGAAGATTTGTTCTGATTCATTGTCCATGTAGTCATATCATAGATCATAGAATCATCACGGTGTGGAAACAGGCCCTTCAGCTCAACAGTCCTCACCGACCCTCAGAACATCCCACCCAGACCCATTCCCCTATAATGCACCTAATCTACACATCACTGAACACTACAGGCAACTTAGCATGGCCAATTCACCGAGCCTGCACATCTTTGGACTGTGGGAGGAAATCCACGCAGACACGGGGGGAATGTGCAAACTCCACACAGACAGTCGCCCGAGGGTGGATCGAACCTGGGTCCCTGGCACTGTGAGGTAGCAGTGCTAACCACTGAGCCACCATGGCGCCCCTGGATAGGCATTTAAATTGAACTCTTTTAAAAATACAAATTGTGAAAAAAAAATTTAAAAATGATTGTGGGAAAATGAAATCTTGAAACTGTAGCTTTGGTGTATTTAACAAGTCTTTATTTGGTTTCAGAGGTGATATGCCCAATATAAACTCCATTTTGGATCGGGAGGACTTCACTATGATGAAGAGAGCCATATATGCTACTCAGGTAAGTACTTAACAGAGAAATTCTGGAAATCTCGGGTTTCTTTTCTGAAGTCCGCATTCTTCAGGTTTTACTCAATGTAAACAATATCACACCAAGGAAAAATGCAAAAGAAACTAAATAAACTTGAAATACAACTGTTAAGGTTGGGAAATAAATAATTACATTGAAAAGGAATGTGAAATATAATTATAAATCTTAGTTAGCAGTAGGACACTTGCAATTGGCCTCAGTGTTCCTGGCTGAGAAAAGGAGATCATTATCAGACTTGAAATGTTGTCTCTGCTTCTGTCTTCACAAATGGAGCCCCACCTGCTGAGTTTCTCAAGCATTTTCTGTTTTCATTTCAGATTTCCAGCATCTGCAGTATTTGGTTTTATTTGAGTTTCTGTGCCTCTCCCCCTTGTTTATCTAGAAACCACTGGTAAAAAAAATCGAGATTAAAACTTAGCCGTGTGATAATTTTAGGGAAGCTCACATTTGAGAGGTCAATTTTGCTGCTCAGAACAGGTCTACTTCGCTACATGCCCTTCACAAACAATGGCATTACCATCACAGAATCCTCAACTATCAACATATTGGCTGTTACCACTGACCAAAAATCTGATGTAGACTAGCGATGTAAATTAATACTGTAGCTATAAAGTCATGTCAGAGCCTTGGAATTCTGAAGTGAGTAACTCACCTGCTGTCTTCCCAAAGCCTGTCCACCATCTACAAGTCACAAGTCAGCAGTGTGATGGAATAGTCTGAACTTGCCTGGATGAGTGCAGCTCTAACAACACTCAAGAAGCTTGACACTGTCCAAGACAAAGCAACCCACTTAACTGGCACCCGTTCACCACCTTTAGATACCACTGCCTTTACCACCAATACAATGGCAGCAGTGTGTACCATCTGCAAGATGTACTGCAGCAACTCACCCATAATCCTTTAGACCAGCACCTTCCAAAACCATGACCACTACCACCAGAAGGACAAGACCAGCAGACAGGCATGGGAACACCACCTACAAGTTCACCTCCAGGCCATACCATCCTGATTTGCAAATATATATTGTCGTTACTTCACTGTTGTTGGATCAAAATTCTGGAACAGCACTACGGGTGCACCTATACTCTAAGGACTGTGGCAAGTCAAAAAGCCACCACTTCTTGAGGGCAGTTAGGGATGGCAAATAAATACTAGCCCAGTCAATGATGCCCACACGCCATGATCAAGCAAAAAAAAACTATACAAATAGGAATCTTGCAGTGATGTGGGGTCCATTTACAATTTGTGGCAGCGTTGGTTGGAATGTGAAGTAGGGTAAGCCTCCACTTGACAGTTCTTAAAGGAACCACTTGGACTGCTCACAAGCTGAGCACAAATATTTTTCTGTGCACACCTATGAGCTGAAGAGGAACAAGAACACTTCTTTCTCTTATTTACATTGTTCTTTGCCACCACGCTGCTGTCATGAGATTTCCCAGAGTGACAAGCCACTCTCATTGAATACTATCTGTGACTAATACAAATGGGTCCTAACTTGAAAATAGTTGGGGCTTTGCGTGGCTACAGTATGGAGAGCAGGGTGATCATTCTAGTATCTGCCTGACCACAGGGACACTGAAAACTCTGTGTGTGCGTGTGTGTGTGTGTGTGGATGGTAGGTGAGAACGCTGTCAAGCTCAGGTGGGAATCTCAGATGTTCTACTTGCTGCTCTGCAAACCAGTAGCCTTTTGATTAAAATGGGTTTAATTTCAGAGAGGACTATATATGCATAACAGCACATACAAGAAAAAAACTGGTGAATTTCACAGCTGGAAGGGGAAAATTATGCTAAATGTAATTACCGTTCTCTGACCAAGTTCTTATCCTTTTCACTTCTCTGAAACATGTATCATTGTTGTTACACAGCGACGTTCGTTGCCTCCTATTTGTACACACAACATGCTGGATGATGCTAATGATCTCATTCTCAAGGCAGTCCGAAGGATTGGGTTGTTTAATAGCACGAGTGACAGAGTTAAGGTATGCAAGCTACTTTTTTTGGCTGCTTTGATAATTTTTTAGTGAATCTGTACACAACTGAAGGGTCATAGGAGCAGTGGAACGACAATTTTCAATTAGACAAAGCCGTGCTAATGGTCCAAGAATGCTTATTGTATACGTGAATCTCTACTAAATGGAGAAATTACATTCTGCATGACTTATTTTTCACTTTTTCTTTAATTGTCATTCGCAAAGAATAAATTGTAGCATGTATATATTTGCTTTTCTTTAGAAAGTTTAGAAATAACAGCCTACAGTATATTTGATCCTGTCATCCCCTGATGTCTCATTGGGGCCACTAGATAGAATTTAGACAATAATGTGTAAAGAGGCAGGTTTAATAAGTTACCTCAGAGTCAAGGATCCCCTAGAATACAGTGACTATAACATGGTGTAATTTAGCATTCAGTTTGAGTGTAGAAACTTGGGTCAGAAATAATTGTGCTAAACTTAAATAAGGGTAATTTAAAAAAACAGCGATGGCAAAGTTAGATGGAGTGGACTGGGCAAGAGAATTAGCAGCAAAGGAGCAAAGACAGATGGTTAAAAAAACATCCATGACTTACAACGAAGATATATCCAGAGAGAAAAAAAAATTGTATGGAAGTGATGAGCCAACCATAGTTAGCAGGATAGCATCAAATTGAAAGATAAAATATACAATGTGGCAAAGATGAGTGGTAAGCCAGTAGTTTGGGAAGGTTATAGTTTTCTGATTAGCAATCCAGAGAGGAAACCCTGTTAATTAACCATGCCTTTATGCCAGCTGTATTTTCCCAGTACAGTTTTGGGTAACACAAAGCAATGATCATATCTTGAACCTATTTGGCCTGTACCACATGACTTTCCCACTTGAATAATCAGGGGAGGCTTATGACAGGATCCTTGCCTCTGCTTTCCTCGAAATAGCTTTTATTCATTCTCCAGGTCATCTTTCATCCTGAGTTCCTGTCATCCACGAGCCCATTGCTTCCTTTGGATTATGAGGAGTTTGTACGTGGCTGCCATTTGGGTGTGTTTCCTTCTTATTATGAGCCATGGGGATATACTCCTGGTGAGTTGAAGCCAGTATTGAAGCTTTTCACTGTATTTTACCATGTTGTTCATTGTAGAGTACAAGTGACAATAAATCATCATTCATATTAAAATTCACCTCGCAAGAAGTCCAAACAGTCCTTGAAAAGCTAATTTTATGTTTGTGAAAGGCCAGATATCTCCATTAATGAAAAATGTCAGTGTTCTCTATAGAATTTTTCTTAAAGTTTAGTTGTTTTTTACTTCTGTCAGGACCCAAATGTAAATATTTAACAATTCACATGGTGAAATAAATAAAAAGGGAAGAATGTTAAATACTTTTGACTTCCTAGTTTGATGTAAGTGAATACTTCAATCTGATTGGATGTTTAAATGCTTGCTGACACCACTACTGTAAGATTTGACACCAGATTCAAACTGTCTTCAGGAAAGAGGTGAACCTTGCTACTGAGATTTCTACACTTTAGTGAGCAGCTTAACCTCAAAGTTAACACCGTGTGCCCTTGCTTTGTTACTGACTACAAAATCATCAGTTTCAATTTGGAGATAACACAGTGTGGAGCTGGAAGAACACAGCAGGCCAGGCAGCATTAGAGGAGCAGGAAAGTTTTCGTTTCAGGTCGGGACCCTTCTTCAGAAATGGGGAAGGGAAAGGGAGCTCCGAAATAAATAGAGAGGAGGGCTGGGTCTGGGGAAGGTAGGTGGGATGGTGATAGGTGAGTGCAGGTAGGGAGTGGTGGGGATTGGTCACTGGTTGGGTGGGGCAGTTAGGTGGGAGAGAAGATGAGCAGGTTGTATCAGGTCAAGGAGGTGGGGATGAGAGGGAGGGTTGGTCATGGGATGAGGCCGAGGGTGGGGAGATTTTAAAACTGGTAAAATTAACGTTTAGGCTATTGGAGTGTAGGCTGCCGAGGTGGAATATGAGGTGCTGCTCCTTCCAGTTTGTGGGTGGTGTCCTTGTGACACTGGAGGAGGCCCAGGATGGACATGTCACCCAGGGAGTGCGAGGAGGAGCTGAAATGTTTTGCGACGGGAAGGTATTGTTGTTTGTCGCAAACAGAGCGCAGATGTTCTACAAAGCCGTCTCCGAGCCTCTGCTTGATCCCACCGATTAGAGGAGGCTACATCGGGAGCAGCGGATGCAGTAGACCAAGTTGACAGATGTGCAGGTGAACCTCTGTCTGATATGGAAGGTTTGTTTTGTGCCTTGAATGGAGGTGAGGGGTGAGGTGAAGGAGGTGTAGGGGCAGGTGTAGCACTTCGAGCGATTGCAGGGAAAGGTGCTGGGAGTGGTGGGGTTAGTGGGGAGTGTGGAGTGGACGAGGGAGTCGTGGAGAGCGCGGTCCCCTATGAAAGGCAGATAGGGGTGGGGAGGGAAATATATTTTTGATTGTGGGGTCAGATTGTAGGGGGCGGAGAATGATACGTTGGATGAGGAGGTTGTGGCGTGATATGTGAGGACAAGGGGGATTCTGTCTTTATTTTTGTTCTGGGGAGTGGATGTGAGAGCAGAAGTGGGGGAAATGCAAGAGATGTAGTTGAGGGCATTTTCAAACATGGTTCGGGAGGAAGTTACAGTCCTTGAAATAGGAGGACATCTGAGATGTGTGGGCGTGGAACATCCCATCTTGGGAGCAGACGTGGTGGAGGCAGAGGAATTGGGAGTAGGGGATTGCATTCTTGCAGAAGGGTGAGTGAGAGGAGGTGTAATCTAGGTAGCTGTGGGAGTCGGTGAACTTGAAATAGATGTCGGTTTTGAGGCGGTCATCAGAGATGGAGACAGAGAGGTCCAGGAAGAAGAGGGAGGTATTGGAGATGGTCCAGTTTTAATTAGGAATCTAGTTTTAACTTAAACTTGACTAATGGTCATTTCACCTGTGCTTGGTGTGACACCAAGCCAGACAGATCAGGAAAAAGCTAGCATTGATCTCCAATCTCTACTGAGTTAACTGCCTTCAGGAGGAACGGTAGAAATCATCTTCCTGCTGTTAAGCTGTACAGGAGAAAAACCAGCCAGGATTCTGCCTTGTGTTCACTGTCTACTGTCACCTTGCAAGTCTTTCATCAGGTGCCATGTAAAATGTGATAACCTGAAAATACTTGCTATCTAAGCTGGCATGGGGACTTGGCTGCCTTGGTGGAGATATGAAAAAAAACTGCCAATGGAATTGCAACTGCACAGCGAATAATGCTTATTTGGATAAAGTAACTGTTGACCACTGAAGTTTGAGTTAGAAATAATTTAATTCTCCAGCAATGCTCAGTGTTATACTGAAAGATCTGACTTTATAATACTATTTAATCGTTAATCATTTCGCTGTCAGGACTAAGTGGTTTCTAATGGGATTAATCGTTTGTTTTTATCCCTCAGCGGAGTGCACAGTGCTGGGAATCCCTAGCATCACCACCAACTTATCTGGCTTTGGATGCTTTATGCAGCAACACATTGCTGACCCAGCAGCATACGGTAGGTATTAAACTTACTTTGCACACCCCCCTGGGAATTGATGGATTGCTATCTTTTAACCGTATTCATTAGTAACAATTTTACTTAGGTGAAAGGTAGTTCTGGAGAAAAGTAGTGAGGATTTTGGAAAAGACTCAGACTACTTTATAACGTATTATTGATGAATTCAGCTGCCAATAGTGTTGAGGTTGGTTGGCTCACCGAGCTGGTTTGTTGTTCCACAGACGTTTCGTTACCGTGCTTGGTAACATCCTCAGTGCAGCCTCTGATGAAGTGTCGGTGTTTTTTCCCGCCTGGTTTATAAACTCTGGGGTCCGTTGCGATGACCCGTTTAAAAAACCAGGCGGGAAAACACACCAACGCTTCATCAGAGGCTGCACTGAGGATGTTACCAAGCACGGTAACAAAACGTCTGCGGAACAACAAACCAGCTCGGTGAGCCAACCAACCTCAACACACACAACCCGATCTACAGATCTACTCCAAAACCTTAGAGCTGCCAATAGTATTTGTGCAGAGCCAGGGAGAGTGTAATAGAAATGTAACTTTTAAAAAGTTTTGGGACTACACTCATGGGGTTTCCACTGGTCCCTCTATAGATAGGACCAGGTCTTGACCAGTCTACTGATATCAGGGATAGATTGTGCCCATTTATACATGAATTTGCATCCTGCAACCAACATTGGTATCTTTATTTAAATGTGCTAATGCCTATTACAAGCCAAGTGCCCTGGGTACATTAAAAAGCTATTCAATATAGCACATGGCTTATTTTCAGCGTAAATCAGGTAAATGAGATATAACTAAAATCCCATATACCATCACCCTGCTTCTCTTTCCACATCGCAAACTCCTAGCACTTTCGGCAGTGTAAGACGATTGAAATCCCCAGACCTGAGTTTCATCAACCAAGTCTGGTCCTGACCTCCTCCAGCATCTGTCCTTATGGCAATGGTTAGTGGCTCATAATCCACAGCACAATTCTTCCAAGTGCCAGTCCAGGAATGCTGATGGTAACTATAGTGCTGGGCAGCTGACCTATATTTATTTGCATTCTGCCCATTAGCTAATTTGAGCGATTTTTTTTGTTTTTGGTTCTCTTTAAAATTCAAAGTTTGAAAATGCAGAGTAACTTAGAAAAGTTTGAGGAAGTAGAACAGCGGTTTCTTTACCCCAACACCAGCCTTAAAAAGCCTTAATTGAAATGGATTTTCTCTTCATAATTTGCATTCTTTCAGCTATAGGTAAGAAACAGAGGAGTTATCTGACAAGAATGATGTGTTCAAAATTTAATTACAATAAGCAGTTAGTACAGAGGGATTGACGTATTTTACCTTAGTGTTCCTCACTAATTGAATAACACAGAAATGAGCTCAGACTGGCCCTTTGCTGATAATGTGGTCTCCATCTCACCTTTTATCTGATACTTTTATCTGTTACAGTAATTATTACCGATCACTGCATGGGGCCACAGTCATGCGTAGCTTTCAGTAATATAATCACTGTAGCTGGAAACAGCTCTCTCCTCTACAGCCTGCTGTGTGCCTTCAAATTGGCCTGGTTTAAAGGCTAGCAGTGCCCATGAGGGATGTGTTACTTGTGTAATGACATTAGAGAAAGGACTAGTCAGAGCCCAGGTCTTTGTTGATAAAATTACCCTCAATGGTACTAATGCCACAAGCAAATTGGATAATACCGTACATTTCCTCCCAAGTAAATAATTGTTCAGCCTCACGGAAACTGATTGCATTCAGAAATAACTAAATCTAGTTGCAATGAAGGGTGCTTTGGAGCTCCGATACAAATAGCATCATTAAAACCCTTATGGACACAATAACAGATGTGGTTATATAAAGAACAGCAGGCAAAATGCACTTTGGAGAATGATATGTGACAGGCAAAGAACATCTGGTCCCTAATGCAGGCACGTGCATCAGGTATCCACATTTTGATATGTTATAGATAAAACAAACGCTGTGGTGTACAGAAAGTCCTTAAGGCGCTATATGTTAATGAGAATAATATAGGTGCAGTAACATTCATGAGAATAACATGGATGAAATATGTTAGTGAGATAATGTGGGCACAGTGTATTAGTGAGATAATGTTGGCACTGTATGTAAATGAGGTAATGTGGGCACAGTATATTAGTGAGAATTAAGTAGGTACAACATATTTGTGCAAATGACATACGTATAGTAAACCAGTGACAGTAAAAGAACACAGTACATTTCACATGCTTTCTAACAGCATGTTTTTGGTTTAAAGTGTTTGATAAATTAGCACTGCTGCCATGTTTGATTAAACACATAAGTTGAGCACACACAGCCTATTTTCTTTAAAACAAACTGTCACTTTGTGGTCCATACCCAACCCCTCCTTCCCACTGTGCACATTCTCCCCCCCCCCCCCCCCCCCCCCCACTGCCATCTCTCAGTTGTTCTCATGCCTTAATTCTCATACTCTCACTCAAAGTGTTGGTGAGAGGGAGGATTAGAGGGAAGTAGTGAACGGAAGAGTTGGTGAGCAGGAGATGTGACAAACAGGAGGGTCAGGGAAAGAGGTGGAGAATGGGACACTCAGCAAGTGTGGAGAAGGGGAGTACAGGAGGGTCACGGAATTGGTGAGCTGGAACTGGAAAGTAGCAAGCAGGAGGTAAATCGAAAGAATTGGTTAGTTATTGAGAATTTTCAAGCTATTACTCGTAAGAGGTTATTTGGGTTCGTTAAATTCAAGGCAGCCAATAGTTTTTTAATTTAAATGTTACAAGTGAGAAAGATGATCCACTTTTATGGATAGTAGGAACTGCAGAAGTGGAGAATCTGAGATAACAAGGTGTAGAGCTGGATGAACACAGCAGGCCAAGCAGCATCAGAGGAGCAGGAAAGCTGGCGTTTCGGGCCTAGACCCTTCTTCAGAAAAAAA